GCACTCACCTAAAGCCACTATTGCTTGTGTCTAACTCCCTCTTTATTACACTGAGAACTTGCGCAGCAGAAATAATTGACAGCTGCCTCTGCTGTTACCAACATTCAAAATCCTGTGGATTTTGTGACTGTCCTTTCCTACCTTTCCTCCAGCCTCCTTGTTTTCATATGAGGATCTCTCAGAGCTCTGCACTTCATTTTGTAGATGAGGAAAACGACAGAAAGAGATTAAGGTTAAAATGTCAAAAGTTTCAATCAAGTTTGGGTGCTGATTTTATATCTCCAGGCCCTGATACTTTCAAGTGCACTCAACGTTATTGGACTTTCAGATGGAAGCTGCCCTTTGAAAACTAACTATTGTTGCTTCCTGCTTTTCACATTTGTCAAGGTTGGGTAGAAATCTTGAAGTTGATGGGGAGCTAGTTGCTTTCCATGCTGGCTGAAAGTGGGAACAATCACAGGCCCTTTTGTTTAACTGTAATTGAAACATGGGAAGCCACTTCTAAGACCGCTCTGAATGCTAGTACAAGCTGGGAGGTTTTGATCTGCTTGTGGGGGTGTGTTCAGAAGTAAGCAAGGAAGGAGCCAACTGAAGAGAAATGCTTCTAACACGAGCTCGAGAGAAAAGCTAAAATTGCTTGGAGCTTTTTGTGCAGAATATTTTGGGAAGTGTAAAAAGAGCTGTTCTGTTGATTGCTACTCTGATCAGAAACGGTGTTTTGTAGATATTCTGCAAGTAAACAGTATGACTCAGTCAAAGGGAAATGACTGCAGGCCCCAGGCAGCATAAAAGCATGGGCTTGAAAAACATGGGTGGACCATGAATTTTTACAAGAAAATTGTTTAATGAGCACTTAGGTTAGAAGCACTTAGTTTAGAAGCTTCAGGTGCACACAGTAGATAGGGAGTCCTGGAACTGAGCTCGCCAGGACTCTTCTTGCTTGGGGGCTGTGCATCTTCTGCACTTGGCCTCCTAATGTTCTGCTGGGCCACCTGCTGCTCCTCCCTGTCTCTGAACTGCCCTTCAGGAACGAAGGCAAGAAGAGGCTGGCTGGGCTCACGGCATCCCAGCCTGTGGAATTAAGCAGCAGAGGGAATGGACAACTTAAGGAAAAAAAATCCAGAACTATGTAGTGTTGGTGAGCTCTTTAAAGCAGGGTGGTCCAGTTTCTTTCCTGTTGCTAGTCTCTTTCCCCACCGCTGTCCTCCACCTCTAGCAGGTCTCCGAGTCTGGTCCTTTTAGTTTAGAGGCAGCAGTCAGGGCAGAGTTGAACAGAGCAAATGTGAAGCCCCAGACAGTCACACAGGTAATTGCTTGTTGATACCCTTGGCTGCAGATCAGAATTTTTCTTTTCTTAGGATTTACTTGGGAACATTCTTTTTATTTTTTTTAATTTATTCTCAAGTGTGTGAATTTTAAACCAAATCAGTTCTCTGGTTTGTGAGGGAGAGGGAGGTAGAAGGAAGATGGATCCATGCTCTCAGCAGCAGTGCCCATCAGCTGGAAAGTAAGGAAGGGACGTGGTTTGAGGAGTGGGAAGAGGACAGAGTGAAACAGAAGTGGGAAGAGGACAGAGTGGAATGAGGAGAGTTCTGGAATGTGCTGGGGGAACAAGGGATAAATCAAGAAAAAGGGAAATTTCAAACTCTAGAAAATACTCTGATGTTGTTTTGGTGGCAGCCTGGGTTGGCTCCATCTGTCTCATCCTGTTCTCTTGTTGGATCTTATTTGTATCCAATCTGACCCAATAGCTGCTGCCATTAAAAAGTCTCTTTTTGAAGGAAATTTGAATTAAAATCTACTGCAAAATGAGATCTGTTGCTGAACGCAAAGAATAAAAATATTCAGAGTCATTTTTTTTCCTGTGTGCTTCATGGCATAACACAAGTGAAAACTTTTTTTTTTCAAACTAAAATTGTGAGTTGTTTGTGTTTGATTTGTTTCTTTTTAAACAGACCCCTTAAAGGGCAAGTTGTTTTTAAGTGTCTACATTGATTAAAGAATAAACACTGGCTGCTTCAATTGTTGTAAATACTTTGGAAATCTTTCAGGCACTTCAGGTGGCTTCATAACTCTCTTCTCTTGTTTTCCCACTGGCAGAATCTTCTGCATCTTGAACTTTGCTTTTCCAGGTAGATTCAGTTGCCTGCTGAGGGGAAAAATAGTTTATTTCAGTTTGTTCGAGTATATTGGCTATATTGTAAAGGAGACTCTGAACTGAGGATGGCTGTTCTTGATGCCTGTTGAAATGCTGTTGAGCAGCTGTGGGTGGGACAAATTACATTTCATTCCCATACCGAAGCCACTTCATTAATGATCACTTTAAGCTAGCAGCCCTTCTCTATGTTGCCTAACTCCTCTTCTGCCTCCCATTGCCTATTTCCTCGTGCAAAGTGATTGCAAAAAGGAAGCAGTGATCACCTGCACGATTAGGCTGAGACCTAATAATCAGATGTATGACCAGGCTTATGTCTTCAAAATATTTATCATCCACAATTGCATGTTTCATAGCACTGTTTGATACTGATTTCCCAGTTTATTTAAGATATACTAGTATATTTAAGATATTAAAGACTCTATTAAAATATACTTTAAGATATACAGTATATTTAAGATGTTTCTTAGCTGATTCTTCATAGCTGTGTGTAAAACAGCCCTCTCCAAGCCTTGCACCACAAGTACTATCCATTCTTTCTTCCAAAATTTGCTCATGAATCAAGTCTAGCTGCGTTGAATGAGGAGGAATTGATGCAACCATCCCCAAAAGGGAATTTTGGCTGGCGTACATGGGAAGATGGGAAATGACTCCGTCATCTTCAGCCATGGAAGGCATGGGGAGGAATTGCTTCAGAAGAAAGTTACAGGGAAGAAAGCTGGGGTGAAGAGGTTTCCACCTGCTGAATGTTCATGGATGACTAGCAGAATGTGGCCTTTTAGCTTTACTCAAGATAAGATAGGAGTTTGAAGGAAACCACCCATTCTTGTAGACATAATCATACTTGGTTTTGCTAGTTTAGGATGACATGCTTCTCTTCTTAAACCTTATTTTACGAACATGTGAGATACTGAAACAAAATTGTATAGCTTCGTTTTCTGGTGATGCCTTTAGGAGAGTGCCACAGCATTATAATAATTACAGGAACATGTAGCTAGCGATGAAAACTGTCCAAAAAATTGCTTCCACAGTTCTGTATTGGTGTTTTTCCTGGTCAGTGTTATCCTTTTGCTTGAACACCTTTGAAACCTGTGGGACGTCATGAAGAGATTCTGTGCTAGGTGAATCCTCAATGATGCAGGTAACTCCTCCTGTCCGAGACAGCGTTTATCCAGCGATGGGATTTCAAGCTGTTAAGACTACTCATTCACAACAACACCTTTGTCTTAGGGAATTGCTTTTTGAATCTATTGACATCAATGTTTTCTTCTTCATGTACTAATACATACAGGGGAGTATAGCAGCCTGAGCTATGCCTTATTTAGTTTTTGTCTTGGGCCTACTCAAGGCTCTTGTTGCTCCCCATAGCTGGCAGACAGATGCTTTATTGTTACACGCTGCTGCTGTTCAGTCTAATCACACCTTTCCATGCATCGAGACTCCTGGCCACTTTCCCCAATACCCTCCTGCTTCCTCCCCACCTCCCCTCCCCACCCAAAAAAAAAAAAAAAAAAAAAAAAAAAAAAAAAAAAAAAAAACCCAGGAAAAAATGTTAGTTAAACTTCTCATTTTGTATATAGGAAATGTTAACATTCATTATTTATATAAAAGAGAGAAAGAAAACTGGCTTTGACTCTTCTCTAATGCCAGTCTGTTCCTAGTTGTTGATCTAGTGTGAGTTTATTCTGTCTGCTTATCCTACACGTGAAATCTGTATTAAAGACTTGATTAAAGGTTTTTGCTTATATTACACAACTATTTGGAATAGCTGTGGTTCCCAGCTGAGTGGAGAGGAGGGATACAGTTCACAGGTACTTGTTTAATGCTGTTCCTGATAATTAATATGAGGGTCTTATTCCAATTTCCCTTCTCAGTCCTGTATTTTATAGACACTTCTGCAGGGGGCACCTCTGTTACCTTCTCTGTCCAGACTGACTGCCAGGCAGGACTTGTACCCTGGCTCTTAGACAAGCCTCTTCCAACGCTTTCTGAAGCTATTGAGGGCAGTCAAACTCAAAATATTTTCTTGTGCAGAAACCTGATGTGCTGTAAGTGGCTGATGACAAGGAACTGCAGTAGCGTCTGCGTGTACTGCCCAACACAATGAGCAGGTGTCCGAATCACCACGGGCCTCCCCTAGACTTCATGGGGAGAAGATGGCCTTAAGGAGCCGTTGGACCCCATGGTGTTCTTTATAAGCCTGGCTTCTGCTGAGGGCTCTCTGCACCCCATCCATGCTCGGGGTAGCATCCCTATGTTCTCTCTGCTTTTGCAAGCTTTTGCCACCTGTTTTGGGAAACTAAGTTTGGTCTGTTAGGGGGAGAGTTTCTGTTGCTGCCCTGTTCACAGGGCCGAAGAGCAGTCCCAAAAACATGGTGGAGAAGCCGCAGGTATCGCGAGTGAGGGGCTGCCAGGAGCAGGGGATGGTGCAGGTGGGTTGGGGGCTGTGTTGGGGCTCGGATGGATCAGGCTTGAGGGGAAGGCAGCCCAGCCACAGGTCTGGCTCTGTGCAAGAGCTGGTGGGGAAGAAGTGCTGGCAGTTGGGATTTCAGTCCCCTGTAGCTCTGCGGAAGGCGTTAGCTGCCAGAGTGAAGGGAGCTGCTCGGAGAAGATTAAAAGCAGCTGTATTTAGATCTGCAAGATAGTAATGAGAAGAAATGGGGAGGCTCAAGGAAAAGAATGTAGAGACAAGGCAGAAGGGCAAATCTGATGCTGAGGGTGGGGGGAAAAAAAGACTGCATTAGCATGAAGTGATTATGGGATGGGCTCGGTGGATAGTAGCACCAGCTTAGCTTAGTCCTGGCTGCACTTGCCGAGAAGCTGCTGATTGCAAAGGTGGCAGGGCTGTTTCGGCTGCATGAGTTGACAACAGTCTGATTTCCTAACTCGTCAGACGAGATTTCAGACACTCATATGGATTTGGAGGTGTCTTTGGGCCTGAAATGCAAGTATGAATAACATGATGCTTTATCTCGGCAAATTTGCAAGTGTGTCAGCTTCCCTAGAGTGAGTGGTTTGAACTTGATCCTAGTGTATAATTGAGAATTGGACTCTGCTGCACATCCTCAGTTTTATTAATAAATGTTAATTTGGAAAAATAAAGATATTGTCTTAAATAGCTCCTAGGTAATTTGCTGTGTTTGAAAAGGTGTGTACTTATTTATGTTTGATTCTTTAGAGAAAAGAACCCCAGGACTTTGATTTATATATTTGCTCTTTAAAAATAATATAGAAGTGATTTTATTGTTACCTGTGCTGCCTGGAATGCTTAAAGGAAGCACAGTGCAAGTTCAGAGCATTTGCTAGTCATGTCAAGGTTTTCCTCTGGAAAAGATTTTAAAAGTTTGATTTAGCTTTGTAAAATCTCCATTTGCATCCAGCCTTGTTGATTAGTTAATCGTTCATATTTCTGTTCTAAACATGAGAGTGCTTGGCTTATAAGATAGTTCGGTCATGTAAGAGCTTTATCTGCAGTGAACGACAAATTCAGGAGCTTGTTATGTCAGAAAGGAGGAGGAGGAACTTCTGTTTAGGTCTTGCCTTCACAGGGAGAGGAAACACTGATAGTATCTGTGTAATCTTGCACTGATGAGCTGGCATCACATTGCTTTGGAAAGATTGGTGTTTCAGATCTGATGACTAAGTGATGGTGGGCACAGCTGCTTTAGAAACTGAGATAAAGGAAAGAAGGAAAACAAATCCAGAATTGCTATGTGAAAACCTTGCTGACATGCAGTGCTGTCAGAACACTTATAAAGAGCAGAAACCCTATTCAGTGTCAATCAGGTACGTGCTATATTGAATGAAATATTTATTATTTTAAATGTTGCCAAAGCTCTGCAATTGATTGCCACTAGATTTATGAACAAAAACCTCTAAATGAAATGGGGTGGTTAAAGTATTGAGAGATTTGTTTTAATTCCAGTACACATTTGTTCTTAAAGTCTAACAGTTTGTGCAGATAAAATGGTCTTTCAACAGGTTTGTGTTCTGAAAATTCTTTAGGATTCAAACAAATTTTAGAAGTCTGCTATATTTTAAGACTGGGGTTTAAGAAGTTTATTAGAATGGGATTGCTGCTCTAAAACTAGAAGGAATATTTTGAGCATACATTATTTGTGCATCTTCTCAAAAAAAAATATATATATATGAAAAATATGCTAATAAAAGGCAAAAACTGCTTCTTAGCATCGTGATGTTTGGTGGGGGGGGAGGCTGATTCAAAGCACAGTGGAGTTGATGAAAGTTTCCTCATTGACTTGAATAGACTTTGGATCAGACTTGTAAAGTTCCAGATCTCATACTGATAAATATCTCTTGTTTTGTGCTTACAACTGCTGTGTCTCCCTAAGCAGATTTCCATACTGAAGTCAGTGATTTAGGCTTGTGCTTTTTTAAAGGAAACTTGTTTTTGAAATGGTCTTTCCCAATTAAACGACAAGATTAAAAGCTGTTTCTTCAGTTTGCTCTTGAAAATACTAAAAGGCTTATTTAAGAGGAATTAAAGGTGGGACAGCATGAGTGTACATCTCTATCAAATCCATCAGGACCTCTGTCTGAAAGCTAGTAATTTTTTCTTTTTTTTTCCTTGTCTAGCAATGACAGGTATGATCTGGTCTTTCTATCTTGGACGTTTTAAAAGTGAGGCATTATTAGAGAAAATCCCATTTGGAGGGAGTGGGAGATGAGCAAATTATGCAATTTAGACCATGGGATGGCTGGTTAATGTGCTATTTCTTTTTAAAAAAGAACTACCATAGGGAGAATGACGAACAATTACCTTTTTATGTGCAGAAGTTTTGATATGCTTATGAGTAGTGTGAGAACTGCCTTTTGAACATAGTCATGTAGCATTTGATTCTGATATGCTGAGTGTTGCCAGCTGTATGTTTCCTCATCCGTATCCTTGAAATTCCTTTCTCAACTGCTGTCCCCCAAGGAGGGGAGAAACGTAAGACAGAAGTTTGGTGCCTTTTACTTAACAAATATGCTTGGATTTCTAATACGAAGGTTTGAAACTTCTATTTGCTAGTTCAGGATCTGATCAAAATTCCAGTGTTTTGAGATAAGTTGTGAGCAAAGTTAAAATGTAGAATTACTGTCTCTCTTCTTCTGCTTTCCTTCAACTTTTCTCTTCCTTTTAAAATTAAATATAACTTTCATTTCAAAGGCACAGTGACTGACACGGTATTAGAGGCAGGCAGCCCTAGTACCCCCATTCTCAGGCTGGTAACAGTGTGGGTGACTGAACAGTTCCTTGGACTTTCAAAGGAGGAATAAAAATCTTAGACCTGAAGGGAGGGAATAAATCTTATGCTGCTTTGCAGCTGATCTCTGAAATGCTCCAAATTGCAAGAACTGATTAACTTATTTGAACTTCAAGAATTGCCAGAGAAAGTGAAATAGTAAGAATTATTTTATATCGTGGTGAATTTAGTTCTTGGTGGCCTGATATACTTAAAATGTCACGGGAAGAAAATCACCACAGTTTTAGAGAGACTCTAAAGATGTTGCAATTGCAGCATTATCTTCTGTGAATGTCAGCCCCTGTGAGCATCTGTGAATGATGATACTCTGATAAAGAATGGATGAAAATATCAATTAAAATCCTGTAAAGCCATGTTATTATATGGTCTCATCAAATAAACTTAGTGTAGTTTTATTGAGTACCGACTTCTTAGGAAGCTGCAAATAGAAAACAGCTTGCAGTGAAAAGGGATAATTCCAGGGGGCTGAATAGGTTTTATAACCCCTATGTTATTGTGCTCTTTGGTTATCTGCAACAGGCTTTTGCTAGCAACAGGAAATACTCACATAGAGTTTGCTGGCCCATTCCTCCAGGGACAAGAAATATGAGGCTCAGAGAACAGAAATCCAAGAATAACTCCTCAGATTTTATTTTAATGAGAGGAGGAGGCCATTCAAATTTTGTAGCTAACATTTCATTAATATATGGGACAGACTTCCACCTGTGTGAATCAACAACAAAATTCTTACTGACTCAGTCAGGATTTTGCCCACCAGCCCAGCAAAAGGCTCTTTTTCATGTCCAGTTTAGTCATGAGACAAATCTTGAACAGCTTCTTTTTCTTTGACATTAAAATGTATCCAGCAGCTTTTGTTACTTGAGAATGTTAAAATATCATTTTTGATTTGGGGTTCCATATGGCATTATAACAATGTTTCATTGCTTGCAAAGTTGAGAATAAGCAATACCTTGATTTCTGTTACTTCAGGGAGTGAGTGATGGTGAGGGAAAAATTAATGCCAAATGCTAACTTCTCAGGCACAACTGAAATGAAACACTCATCAAAATGCTTATAAATATATGAAGATAAATTTTGGAAGATAAGTGGGCAAACATGTAAGTCTTAAGTCAAAAAATCCTGTATATCAAATTTTATGAATAAAGAGATTTTTAAAAGTGCTATAAGAGGTTAGACAACCATATGTCTGAGCTCTGCTGTTTGTTTACTGAGTAGAGCCATATGCAAAATGGACAGACTTTGCTATAATATTTGCACTAATGAAGCAGATTGTGCCCCAAAACACAGCTTAACAAGCGGAGAAGGCATTTTTGCATGTGGTATATTTTTCTTGAATGTAAGATGCATTCAAAATTACAAGATGCAGTGGGCTGCCTTGTAAGTGAGGCTGCCAAATGCTGTAAGCTAAAAGGTTTGGGGCTCTTTAACAAGGATATCAGTAAAGAGACTCGTTATGTAACTTGTCTCATATATAAATGATCTGCATAGTGGCCATGGGAAAGAACATAGTAAGTATATGGAGGGGGTTGGTGGCAGGGAGAGTGGAATAAGGGGCGCTCCGCATTAATCTGACAAGAAAAAGCTGTTTGCTGCTTTTCTCTGCTCTTCAGGTCACCTGGAGCTGAAAAACAGGTCCCTGGGAGTGTGTTTACGAGGAGGGCTCTCTGATGCCTCGAGCAGCTCTGGTTATCGCCGCTGCTTTGCAGCCTCGCAAAGCAAGAGGCTGTTCGAGGAACACAGCACGCTTGGAGGGACAGGCAGTACATCAGGTCTGCTTAGCCAGGAGGAATTAAATCCTGGATGCACTGCTCTCCTTGGCAAACAGAAACCACCAGCCCACAGAAGCATGTTTGGGAGCCGGTCAGATCCCCGAGTGGTTTAGAGGGCTCTAGCTTCTGCAGAGCTGAATAAATCAGTTCATACCATTTAGGGTTGTGTCCCATTTGTCTGCTCACCTATCTAGTCTTGTTGCCTATAAATTACCAAGAGGTCTAGGTTGCAGGGGCAGTAGGGAATCTCTTGCCCAGTGGGCAAATTAAGATTTGCCCAAGGCTCTTAATCTCCTCACAGGGTTTATGCCTAGTGATGGAAAACTGCTGCCAGGGAATCTTATCTACTTAGCTTCTCAGAAAGCAAGACGGCTTCTCTCCGAGAGAATAGGAGGCTTCAGTTCCTGTTCTCCATGCCAGATTTTGCTTGTTTTTTGTTCACATATTGACTTTTTTTCTCACACTTTCCTCTCTCAAACTTCTCTGCCATGAGTACGTTGCTCTTGRCTGTGTGTTCTGTGTGTGTCACTGATACCCATCTCCACAGGCTTGCATGGGGAAACCCGTAGGGTGTAAATGCAGTGATATTTTCACTTCCTGCTATATTTACTTATTTATTAAGCTTAAGGATAGGTACCAACGCTGATGAGAGATGCTGAACTGTTACAAGAGCAAACAGAAAGAACTTGACCTCAGTCAAAAGGTTTTGACCTGTCTAYCAGTTTATGTCTACACCCTGCCAATAACTAAAAAGAAGTTATTCAGTAACCTGCTGAATTGTGTAAAAGTCATACTGGGTAAAATGAGGCTATTTCACCATGGGCACTTGTTCTTTCTGAGGCCAGGTTCTTGAGCTGACTGTTCTGTTTCTCATCTGGGTGATATAAATTAAAGATGTCCCTCAGTGCAGGCTGTCATAATGACTCAAGCATAGTGGGCCCTAGTGATAGTTCTGGGCCACTCTGGTTGAGAGAAGTGGTGGTTGAACAAATTAATCCCTCCTGGAACCGAGGAGCTGGTGTGTTTCCTGCTGCTGCCACAGAGCTGTGCTCTGATCCTGAACCCAGGGATTAAGGCTTGTGCGCATGGAGACCTAGGGGCGCTTCAGGGAACGCAAGTCCCAGGCTTGGAGAACCTGAGTTCCCCCAGGCCGGATACCTGTCAGGGCTTCGGGACACAGTGAAACAAACCCAGTACTCAGCACAGATGTAGCCTCTTGTATTTGTTTCTATGAAAGAAACATTTCTGTGGGCTCATTAGCAAAAGGAATTTTTAGCAAAAGGTCAAATGTATTCAGTGCTACAGAATTCCTGTGTTTGGGAGGTAAGGATGTGTGCAGCACCGTGAGCAGATGTTAGTTGTGTGGATTGGTTGGTTCTGGAAGCTACTCGGTTAACCACATGAAGACCTACACTTTTGACTTAAACCTTGTACAACTGAACTTCAACAATTAGGTTCTTTCTTGACAAACATGAGGTTCTATGTGCTGGCTTCTGCATGATAGCCTTGTGGATGGAGTTGTAATTACAGAATCGTCACTTATCGCTGTAACTGTTACTGGTGTAATAGATGTATAAGATATTTCTTTCCCAATGAAATTTCACACTGAAATTCAAATATTCTTTTTGGTGGAATAGGTACTGCCCATCCATGCTATACTTTGAAATAATGCCATGGAGAATAAAAGAGATGGAAGGTCTCAGGCCACATTTACATTCTTTTAAAGGACAGTGGCTTTCCACGTCTGGTTTGAAATTTTAAGTGTATGAAAGGTGACTAAAAAAATGTGAGTCACAGAAAGCTTAAATCTGTCTGAGGTCAAATGACATTTATGGCTCTGCAGATTTGAAAAAAGAAAAAGGCTGAACGACTGCACTTGGCTCTAATTTGAGTGGAACTCTGAAAGTCTCTTGCAGCTATACTTAGCTTCTAGTGACCTAACCCCATTGCAGTGTGTGTAAGACAGTTGTTTTCATGCACCTGACAGTGTTAAATGTTGATTATCTTTGGACGGGACCCACACCTCTTCCCTTCTTGAGCAGAGTTGACAAGATTGCCAGTCCCCTGGTAGTTAATGATCCTTTTCTGTGCTTACTATGCTTATTACCCTTTGCAGCACAAATAAAGTGGAATTTCTTCCACTTGAATGCCTCTAGAGGAGGCGTATGGATGAATATAGTAAAAGAAAAATCAGGTAGGTGGAGATACCTGGTGGGCAACTAGTCTTACCTTCTGCTTAAAGGTATGTCAGGTTGCTCGGGGTCTTGTTTTTAATATCTCCAAAGATTGACTTCAGTCTTCCTGCACATCCTATTCCTGCGTTTAACCACTATTACTGTGGAGATTTCTTTTCTTATATTCGATTGAAATTTCTCTTGGTGTGGCTTGTGAGTGTCATCTCTTGTCCTTTGTGCCATTCTGAGAAGAGTCTGGCTTTTGTCTTCCTTTTAACCCCCTTTAGGTAGTGGGAGGCTGCAGTTAGACCTGCCTGCAGTCTTCTGTTCCTCCAGACAAACAAATCCGTTTTCCTTAGTACCTGCACATATGTCATAGGCACCAAGCCTGGGAAATATATTTATGAATGTTTAGAATGAACCTAATACTTGTCCATAACAAGATAAACAAAAGGCYCATTTTACTTGAGTCTTTCAAAGTATTTGTGCCCCTATGCTTTTGATCTGCAGAGTTTTCTTTGGAGAATATATTGATCTTATGGAACAGGCTGTTAATTTTGCAGGAATGGGTTTAACATCTGAGGTCTGGCAAGATTGCTTARTTTTGCTGTGCTTCCCTGTCTATGCTCTACTTGTTGCATCTACTCCTTCTCAGGTAATAACAAACTTGTTTACTTGTATTACTTTTGTTGGCAGTATCTGACATTGCTGCGTTTAATGAGTAATAAGTTCCTTACAAAACTTGAAGCACAAGTGCTGTGTTGTTCATCAGGATTGACTTTCCTTTAACGATCAATTTTGAAAAAAYGATTCAATTTATTGTTGCAGCGCAATGCACAAAGTTTAACCTAGCAGAATATTAATAGAATCCATTGCAATATGACTGAGGTGCCTAGGTTGAGGGGTACTGGAATGTATGTCTGCTGAATCACTGCTATTAAAATGGAAGGAAGAACGATTTACGCTTTAATCCTAGCAGAGAAAAAGGTCATTTTAATTCTCTATGGCAAAAATATTCTTTGCTTAAAGTATGTGAGCTGCAAAGAAAACTTTAAGCATGTTGCAGTTTATATTGGTCACTAAGAATATCCATCAATCCCCTGTTTCTTGTAGGTTGTGGCATTTTTCTAGGAAAAATTCTTTTACAGTTCAAACAGGCTCTAAAAATCAGCAGACTGCCCTCTCTTTTTTCCCCCAATGCTAAAAAATTAGTTATTTCCCATAAGGCTTTAAAAAGACTCTTAATATCGGTCATGTGCAGTGACCAGCTTTGGATGCAAGTATGCAAGTGTGTTGATTTGAGTTTGTTCAGGTAGGTCAGTTGGCTTAATTATTTACCCATGTATCTATTTGACTATGACATCTAAACAGTTATTGTGCTTTATCTGGTGCGTGTTGTGTCAAGATACAGTATTCAATATGTAGAGCTCTTTAAAGACCTAATTTTCTGGAAGAGAGCAGAGATAAAGTCACAGTTTTGTTCCTACATCGTCATGGATGTCAGTGCTGTCCTCTGTATCAGAGTCAATGGAACTGTATTTTCTTACACCAGATGTGAATTCTGCCTTTAATGTCTTAGATTTGTGAATGGTAAGTGTTATTCAAGGAATCAGATGAACTGTTTACCTAATTTAGAGTATTTGCTTAATTAATGGCATTTCAGTCATTCGGTATTTTGCTAAATTAAATTGACTTAAGCATATCGAAATGTTTGCAGTCTCCCAGAAAAAAATGTATTCTAAGAATAATGGCTTCCTTCTTTGATCTTTAGAGGTTCATTTTGGGTAGGAGTTCACTTTAGGCTAATGAATGGTCTTAAAATATGACGATGCTATATCAGGAAGGAGAAAATATATTAGCCTGTTGGAGCTCTTTATTGCAATCTTGCACTTGCATGTGTTATCCTGCTTCCTTTTGAGGTGTTAGTATTAGTGGAATTTATCAGTTTCTGTAGCCCTAAATCTTAAGATCAAGGTCCCTGGATCTGCAGCTCTTTAAGCTGTGCAGCTGCACAGTCCAGCAGTCGGTTTTGGGGCCCCCCTGAGCAATTCCTGCAGCTTCTCTTTGTGATGGCCTGGGCTTCCCCTTCTAAACTCGCTTGGGTTTAAGGGTTATGCCTGAGATGAACTTGTGGAAATCCATAGTCTACCATGGCTGAATTCTTTATACTACTGAAGTTAATTTTCTTAAGCCAGTGCTGATATTTTTCTACTGTATTGCAATGTGCTGAAGACCGTGAGTGCGATTTGCTTTGACCTCCTGGACCTTGGAATCCCTTCCCTGGTAAATGAGTTGTGAAGTCTGTAGTGACTTTTCACACTTGCATAAAGTTCCCCCCTGCAGAACAAAGTTCTTCCTGTCTTCTCTTAACTTCTGTATGTGACCTCCTATGGAGAGAATGTAGCCTTTGGCTAAATTAGAAGCTGTCCAGCATTTACGTGGGTATCCTATGTTATGCTGATTGACTTTACACAGAAGAAGAGAGCTCAGCTAACTTCAATTCATGGAATTGTGTAGTACTAGCTCCAGGCTTTTGCTCCTTATACAATATATATACATGTATTTTTGTAAAGGTCTGAGGGAAACTGGACAATGTGTTGTTTGCAATAAAAGCTATCAAAGTATTTTAGCAGAATATCTGTAGTCTGCAGCATCCATGCACACCTTGAGGATGTGCAGCTTGTGAGATGTCTAATTTCACTCAGCTTTACCTAAGCAGAAGCTTTAAATGCGCTCCAAATACACTGTGACCACTGGGCCTGTGAACAGTAACAGCTGAAAACAGTCTTTAAGATGGTTTCCTAGTTCCATCATTTGGCATTCATAATTTAACTGGGCTACCCACTGCATAATATGGAAGTGAAAGCACACGCAGCATTTTGGGGGCTTTTGCAGAGAAAATTGCATATTACTGATTTCTCTCAGCAGAGCCTCTGGACCCAGAGCAACTGAATCTTGTAGGTTCTGGTGGAAGCAGGGTCAGCTTCTCCTCCGCTACACTAGAGTTGCAGTGCAACAATTGCTGGCCGAAAACAGCTGCAGAGATATCTCATTTTCCTGTTTCCCACAAAGGAAAAAACAGCAGCTGGGCCTGAAGGCCTGAAATGATTTGAAGAGTTCCTAGTTATTTCTGCCTGTATCTTCAGTTTCATTAACAGAGTCCAAAGCATGTCCTAGTTTTCTCCGCCCCATCGCTTCCCCTGAAGGAGGAACCCTGTTCAATAAGACAATTTCTCACCTCCTTGTTAATGTTTCTGTCCTTAATCCTGGTTCTGGAGAGAAAAGTGTGCCAAGTAAGTCCCAAAGATGAAAATGCCACCTAGCTCAGCAGCTGTTGAAGCTGCTGTTGCTTCAGAAAGCCTGTGTTTGAGTCTTCTTCATCTTGATTTATGTTTATGGGAAGTGAAAAGAGGTAAGAGTTTTTGGCATCAATATTTAAACATTTATTACATAACAAAGCAGTGGGTGAATTTGTAACTATCTGATGTTCTTTCCTATTGGGACTGTATGACCACATGGACTGCAATTTTAGTACTGGAGACTGAGGCTTGCTGAAAACAAAATGGTCTTATAGATGTTTTGGGTTGCAAGTTATGAAATGCATGCCTGTCATCAAAGTCAGAATGAATTTCAGGTAAAGCATACAGTGAAGAATGAAGGAGAAGTATATTTTGTATGTCAATATAAATTAATGCTTCTAGGATGGGGAAATGTTTCAAGAGGATTTTGCTGTCCTCTTCCCCACTGTCCCCCTTGGATCTGCCTAAATCTGGCAAAAAGTACTTGCTGTGGGTAAATTAAGGTTTCATTACTGATTTGGAATCAGTAGAGACTGCAGAMTAGTTAGGATGAGGATGGAGAATGGCAGGAAACTCTTAAAATATCCTGACCTTATAGAATTGTTGGAGTCCTGTGTTGTTGTGACTTGTGCTTTTTTGGAGGTGCTGGATCCCAGTGCCTCTTGGTGTGAAGTCGCAGGGCTTCCTGACATCCATTGCATCTTCCTGCCCWGTGGGGAGGGGGATGCAATGGAATTCTTAGTTTGGAAGATGAAAGGGGCGGTGTTCAAAACACCTACCAATAAACATCTGTGTTAGTAAAGGTAAAGCTGAAGAAACATGCCTAAAACAGGAGCAGGAAATGGTAAAATTTTACAGTGATTTACTTTGTAGCACTTTCATTCTGCAATTGTGGACCGTAGGATAATATTAATTCTCGGATAGAGGAACTTTACTCTGGCTGCAGGGATGTCACATGCATCTCTGTTTCAGGTGTCATGAACACACAGAACCCCTGTCTTACATAGTTAGAAACCCCCTAAAAATAAACATTTCTCTTAAAGTTAGCAAACCAAAGCACTGACTGTTTAGGTTTCAATTAACTCTTCTTTTAATATGTCTTAATATCTTAGGATGAAGATTTAAGCAACAAATAGTCTTCAACCTTGCTTAAAAATGTCTCTGTGTGCATCATCGCACAAGGACTTCTCTCAGTTGCTGCCACTTCAAGATATTGGATGCAATAAAACAGAAATTAAAAACTCACCAGCTGGTATCGGCTCTCCAGTTCCCTACAGCTGTAATCAGTCCGTGCTGGCAGTAGAACACAGTCCAGTTTATATCCCGTCATCTTACATGGAAAGCAGGCATGAATATTCTTCCATGGCCTTCTGCAGCCCTACTATGATGAATTACAGCCTTCCCAGCAATTTTGGTGATTCAGAGAACGCGACTGTGAGGCAAACATCCAGCCCAAGCGTGTTGTGGTCTGGCCCCGGGCACCTCTCCCCACTGGCACTGCACTGCCAGTCATCGCTTCTGTACGCGGAGCAGCCAAAGAGCCCGTGGTGCGAAGCAAGACCCGTGGAGCCAGTGCTACCTGGGAACAGGTGAGTAATTCTTGTTTACTTCAAGATCTTAAACCGCAAATTAATTACTTTTTCTTCTTTTCAGATTTTCCTTTTTTTCTGTTTGTCTTCTATACATTGTCTCTTCCAAAATACGAGCATCAAATCAGTCTTGTGTTCAACCCTCTGAAATAGGATTACTTTTCAAGTGGCTTCATAAAGAATTATACTCTGATTTCAAGCGCTATAAATGTTTTCAATTTAGAAACTGATTATTCTGTATAAATAAAAATTCAGGCTTCTGGGTACTAGTTTGTGTAATAAAAACTAATTTCCCTGCTCTAGCAAATTAAGTCTTTTGAGTGAGAGAAGCAAAGGTTCATCCTCTGTCCCTTTTCAGAGAACATTTTTTGAATACCATTTCATGTGGATTTTTTTTTACTGCATCTAATAGTTATGTAAGCTTTTCATGAACTTGATATTAAAAATTACTTTGAGTTCTTACAGTCACATGAGTTCTAACAGTCACATGAGACCATCCATTACGTTTAAAAGAGAGATGCTGTGGTTGAAAGTCCAATGTTTTCTTGTTGTTATTCTGGACTTACATTATGAAGTTGTTGCAAACAAGAAGATGCAGCTGAAAATAATGCCAGGTGTAAAGAAACTGTGTTTGCAAAAACATGTTCCCATCCTGCACGTTCACTCCTGCTGCCTACTGTGAGGTTTMTGACAGCAGTTGATTCTTCTGCCCCACTCATCAGCTCAACAGCTGTTTTGTACATTAAAAACACGGTGTTGCAGGTGCTGTTCCTCTTTGGGCAATTGTATGTTTGTTCACAGGACTCTCTATTTAACTACTGTGGTCATTGGCAGTCTGGAAAATAATAGCGTGGCCTGGAAGCTGGTTTAGTCCAATTGTTCATAAAGGATTTGGGCTATTTTTTGAAACTACTCCCACCTGTTCCGCAAGGGCTGGGCCTTTATTTAGCTGTACATGGGCAAGAAGTCAGATCTAAATCTCYGCTTTAGACTGTGGGATGCAGAAAYGTTCCAGCCTGACCATTTGATGGGTCTCCCTTTGGGGTCAGGAGAGAGCAATGGGCAGATCTGCCGGGCAAACCTGGTGCAGGTGGAGGTGGGAGAATTGGGAGAAGCCGTTTGGGTAGCACTGCTTAGCCAAAGGCTTCCCCARTGCACCTGAGCAGGGTGCAACATTAAATAAACCAGCCAAATTCTTCTCGCTTGGTTAATGTTCCAAACCATAGAGAGGTCTGGAAAAGCTGCTACTGGTTCATGTTTTAAGCCGGCCGCTGGAATCACCCCAAAACAAGAGTTCCCCCCRCGACGCTCTGTGGCGTGATCCCCGCGTGGGAGAAGGGGAGCCAGGCCCGTGACTCAGGAGCCCGTGTCAATACCGGCCTTCTGCCACTTGTGTGCAGTCAGACGGGCTGTTGCTCTCGTAGCTCATTATCAACTCGTTTAAATGGGAAAAATCGATGAAAAATGGAACCTGAATTTATGGCTCCCATAAATGATCTTTCAGCAGCAGGTCGATGCTGTTGGCTCTTYGGGCCTTCTCGTGCTTCAGTCACCTGAGGCCTGCATGCTGTGACCCCCTTTATGTGCAGAATTTTTAAACACGGACATTTAATTTAACTTTGAACCAAAAGAGGCAAAAGTTGCAATTCCCCTTATTGTGGGTCTCTGGACTGAAATAAGGCTGTAAAGGAAAAAGCTGTGTTTTCTTGTGCTTTATACTTTGGTGAGGTCTTAAATTGATGTCATGAACGTTGTGTTTATTGCCATGGGAACAGCGATTGCGACACTACGGATTCGTAGGCTGTATCCTGAAGGAAGAGTCCTTTGGGTTGAAACTTAAAGGAATAGTTGTGGGGGATGGAAAACATGTATAGTGTCCGGTGTAAGTAGTTCTAAATACAGCATTGTAGGCTCTTCTTTTATATATAAAATATATATATATAATATATATAAAAAAAAATATTATATATAAAGGTGTTCTGTCCGAATGGTGAGTAAAAAGGTATTACCATATAGTTAGATATGTTACACAGTGTATTCTTTTACATTTAAAAACAGACGTAGACTCACTGAGAAAGGAATTTAGTTTYCTTGGGTATGAAATTCCATTAACATTAGCTAAAATCATGTGACCTAGCTGACTAGAACTGATTTCTATTCAATTTGAACTTCCTTGTGGATCACCTTAAAATAAGGAACCTAAATTTCCATTCCTTACAAATGCATTCCTTCTATAAATGCAGAAGAAATTTATTTAACTTTGTTGAAGGAAAATATTATGTAGCAGTGTGCTAGTTTGCAGGAGTTTAGCAAAAGTGCATTATACTTTGTATAAAAGTAGACGTGAATTTTTAAAGGTCCGTTTTTGCCTTAAATGGTAGTATATTGGTGGTGATGCAAATTTGGCACAGTCCTTATGGATGCAGTAACTACTGAAGACGATAGAAATATTCTCATAAATTTTGTTGGGACACAAACACAGCTTTTGTATTAAAATGATTTGGAGGGAAAAGAAATTTGGCAGCATAGTATAAATTACTTAAGACTAGTCTGGCATGTAAGCTGAAGTTAGTTTTTGTTTTTCATCCTCTAACTAAAAGGCTTGTAATTAAAGAAACAAAAGACTCATATTGCAAATGGAGAGATGTATCAAGAAATACCACTGAAGTTCCCAGAGTGATGCTTCTGCCACTTGCTTGATTTGTTCTTTCCTTCAATTTATTTTCCTTCTCCTTCTAACAGCAATGGCAGATAGAATATTATAAATAAAAGTCTATTGGATGCACTGGCTAGCAGTGCTTGCTAATCATAAATGTAATAATTTCATTTGTGTTATTGTTCAGTGTGTCCTAATTTGTAGTGTCTTGCTTATACATTGTTTAAACCCTGCTCCAAAGCCATAATTATTTATATTACTCTATTTTTTTAAACTGTTCTCACCCTGCAGAGCTCTCAGATGCATCTTGAAGTCTTTTTGAGGTGATAATTTCATTTGTCTAACTCCTTAATCATAAAAGAGATGCCCGCCCCTGTCCCTTAGTTTTGAGATACCTGTGACATGATTTTCAGCACACAAGTCAATGTTTGGAGTGTAACAGAACCGGTGCTGTGGAGATCTAAATATTGATATTTGTGTGGTATTAACACTTCTGCAAATCCTGCTGGAGGTTGTTTCTCAGAAAATTAGGAGGATAATGGCTGAAAATTATTATTGAGTTTATTTCTTTATTTTCACCTAGCATCTTGTACAAGTTCTGGGAGAGGGAGGAAGAGTCTTTCTGAGTTTTCTCCAGGTTTTGAAGATCTTTGAGAGTGTCTGATACCTTTGATCAGTAGGAAATCACAGCTTTGTTATTTCCCTCCAATTCTTTTTTAATGGGAACATAAAATCTGTATATTGAAACTGTGATCACAAATTAGAGAGGAGTACTAGGAGGTGTAAAGTGGGAAGTCTGTGAGAGCCTGTGTGGATGTGGCTCCATAGCAAACAGGTTGGATCCCTGCTTCCCTCAGCCTGGGAGCCTATGGGGCAGCCAGGCAGCTGCCTCCTGGCAGACCCCCCGGGGACCCTGGCACCCCCTCTGGCACCTCGTTCTTCTGCAGAACCTCCCTGAGTCCTCCCAGGCCAAAGGCATGGGAAGGCGGCTGTTAACCATCTATGGGATTGCTCGTTGTATGAGTGACCTGTCTGATTAGGAAGCCCTCAAGGGAAAGGTTTGCTTTAATAAGCTAGTTGAAATCTCCCTGGCCTCACTTCCAGCGTGTTTCTGCCATTCTCTTTAAATTTGCTCCCATTAATGGACAGGTTTCTTCTTCTCTGGACGGGATATCCCTGTCCTTTAGAAGACATGAAAGGTGCTGTCTACTGCCCTTCGCCAGCTGATGTTTCTTTTCTTCTTTAACCTTTCGAAAGGCAGCATGAGAATCGCTGGGATTTCTTCCTTCTGCCTCCATGCTTAAGTTTATACTTACAAGCTGACTCTACAGCTTTGCTTTTGACAAACTGCTACTGAGCACTTGTGTGCAATGGTTGTATCAAGAAATTGAACTGCCCAGCAAGGTAAGACAGGATGAAATCTGGAGAAAAAGTATAAAAAGAGGGTGATTCCCATGTCCTAAAAACCACCTCAACGACAATCTAACTTCCTTTCACTTACTGTTTGTTTACAGGATCTTGGCGTCAGGAATTGGCTCCTATGTCATGTTTTTATCCTGTTCTAATTTTAATTCAGTCCCTAAGAATTGCAATTGGAATTATTTGGGGCACTTCAAGATGGGACATAATAACTTATAGTAAGCAATAGGATTTATTTGCAAAAAACATTTTATTAATGTATTCTTTTTATTATTAAAGACTTCTTTTTATTTAACACTTTCGTTAAAGGCAGTCAACATGGGTAGTCATCTAGAACAGGAAGCCTTGTCTAATACTTAAGTAAGAGTTAGTTGTGTAGGTCTCATTTGCGGCTTTAAATACATGTCTCCAGCATTTTGATGAATAGGATCTCATTTAAAGGATGAGATGCTTGAGAGTGGGTGTGCATTGCTCCAACTAGGGGTTGTCCCTTACTAGTGAGAGCTGTCTGACAGTTTTGTCCTTTATATATTAAGCTTCCCAAAGGCAAGATCCAGTCATAAGCAGCCTGAGTTACAAATTCCTGAGCTTCTGTATTTCTAAGCATTCTTCAGTTTCCATTTCCATTCTATATGACTTTTCCAGAGTTCACATGAATGTCAGATCAGCAGTAAGGTTTTATTCTTACGAGTGTTTTGAACTTTCTAGCCAGGCATCTTCGGAAGCTTTGGGATCAGAACATGCGCTTTAAATAACCTTACCTGAAAAACACTTAACACTATTTAATGATCTTCAGTAATAGCAAACTTGTAGAGAGCTGAAGAAGGTGAAAAATAAGAAGCCTTTTACAGTATAGCTAGATTCATTTTTTACAGATTTATAATGGTTTTTTTTTTCCTTTTCTGTCAGAGAGGCGTTAAAGCGAAAAACTAACAGCAATGACTGTACAAGCCCCGTTGCAAATAATCCTGGCTCGAAAAGGGATGCCCACTTCTGTGCAGTCTGCAGTGACTATGCTTCAGGATATCACTATGGGGTCTGGTCATGTGAAGGCTGCAAAGCATTCTTTAAAAGAAGTATTCAAGGTAGGAAAAACAGCTTTTGATACCTTTTGCTCAAATAAATTTTTCTTGATTGGGTACTGCAGCAGTTGATCTAGTAATGAATTGATCTTTTAAAATCCTCGTGTATTTTGATACGTGATGAAAAAGGGTAACAAATCATTTGACTGCTTTATCTGTTGGCTCTTACGGTATCTGGGAGATCTGGAAACGTTATCAGATGAACAACTGAGTTCTTTTGAGAAGAGATCCAGTGCAAAGCACATGAGGACGCTTCAGCAAAGGCATCTGTGAGAAGCCTGTGAAACTGCAGTTTGAATCCCAAAAGTAGATGCAGTAACTGTGGATTTGCTATAACAGACATGGTCATAGGGGGTAATTGTCCGAGACTTTGCTTGCCAGGAACAGTTCCTATGAGGAATATATTGTCTGGAGCTGTTGAATAGTAGCAAATAATACTTAGTATGTAGGATATAAAAATATCCACAGAAGGTATTGCATGCGATTGTATGTATTTATTTACTTCCATGCTCTGCATTGCAGTAGCTCTTGTTCTGGCAGTCCAAAATCTATCTAAAATTTGCAGCTCTATGACTAAGTTCTTCAATATTGGATATCCAGTTCAGCTCAGTGGCTGCAGCACGTAGCATAGGTCTGCGTGGCTCCTGTCCCATCTGCAGACCACGCAGTGGCTTGTGTGCTGTGAAGACATGGAGCGGAGTTGGGACCATTTCACGGCTTCAGCTTTGGCTTGGGTTATCGTGCTCTTTGGCTTAGTCTGGGGCTGCTTGGAGGGAATTGATTTGGATTCAGGTAAGATACTGACTGCAGGTGTAGGGTCCATGGGAGCCCCTGTTGTTTTGCTGCCCCAAATGTCTTCTGCCACACATGCACTTGCTTCTCTTGCAACAGAATCCATGTCACCATTAGAATCAAACTTTATTCAAAACTTGTTGGCTTTTTCCATTTAGTGTCTAAGTTCTGCATGGCCAAATAACAACATCTGAAAAATTGATGCAAGTCCCTTTGATTCTAAAATGATTGAAGAGAACTTTGTCTCCCATCTGTCAGAAATGGAGACTGAATTTGATCTCAAAGCGTGTTCTGTCAGGAAAATTATTTCCCTGTGCTGCGTGACTCACAAGTGATTTGTCCATAAAGAAGTTACCCGTTGTAGCCTTTTGTACACCTTACTGCACCCTGTCAGATAACATTTGTTTGTAATTCGAATAAATGAAAGCAAGTTCAAGCCATAAAGCGTTATCAAGCACTTATTGCAACTGTTATTGTTAAAGATGTTGCTTTAAAAAAATAAAAGTCCCAGAACTTCTGACGTTTTGAGCGATGACAGTTGGACAGGATTAGATAGTATGAGTGGACAACTGTGTGTGGTCTCCCGTGCCTGTCCACGCTTGCAGTGTAGCGCGTTGGTCCCACATCTCTGAACATCTGCCTGCAAACTGAATCATCCCAAGGCCACAGGAGTTTTAAACCCCTGGATGCTCTTGTGTGCTCCAGTTACAGTGCAACAGAGAGCTCCTGCCTCCTTCCCCCCACCAAGTTGTGTGAAGAGTGATAAATAGTAATTTGTTTTTCTGTCCTATCTGCCAGTAGGAAGGGGGACATGCTGTAACCTGATCTCTTTTTTAAACACTGTAGGTTCAAAAATTCAAGGTTAAAATTATTTTAATTTTGCAAGGAAATAGTCACAATGGTTCAGTTAAATAATTGCTCTTGGGGAAATGAACTCTTGGACTTGTTCATGAATTGAGAAAAAACAACCTACTCATAGACTGCTCTATCTTAGTCCAATCTATCCTTAAAAAAAGTTTGAGAAAAATAACTTGGAAAAACAACCTGCCAGAAAAGAGATTAGGAAATGTAAATGAGGGAATATTTTTGTATCCTTAGGTATTACTCCAAGAGAAACTTCCAGTATTTGGCAGGGCTTCAGAGCCCGCTCTACTTTACAGTAATAGACTCTTTGATCAAATGTATTCATTAAGCAAAGACAATGACATATAGGGTTTTGGGGAGGAGAATGGGGAGAAGGAGAAGACAGCAGAAAGAGAGGGAATCGAAACTGATGCAAATAAAAGAAACCTTTGTCCAGAACATCTAAAAAATTATACCTACCATTTGTAGTATCCCAGTACACAGTGAGAAGTTGTGGTTTTGGGGTCAACTTCCACAAGAGGATAATGTCCCATTTTCAAAAACAAGTTGCTATTCGAAGGTGCTCAGTTACCTAACAGTCATCAGGGAAAGATGGTCTGTGTTGCCAAGCACTTTTTGAGGTCACAGATGAACATTTTCAGTTCAGGATAAATATGTATTTTTGCAAGACCGAGAGAGCCAGCCGGAGATCTTAAACTTTCCCTCTTGTACCCTGCTGCAGGACATAACGATTACATCTGCCCAGCTACAAATCAATGCACAATAGATAAAAACAGGCGCAAGAGCTGCCAGGCATGTCGGCTACGGAAATGCTATGAAGTGGGAATGATGAAATGTGGTAAGTAGTGTGTGGCCTGCACTGTTTGCTTGAGTTTGGATCTTTTTTTTCCCCCTTCAGTAATTCCGTAGGGCTTTTCTTGCTTCCCCCTCCTCCCCCGCCCTCCCTTGGCATACTAAAAAGGCTCACCAGGTACCTCAGCAAGATTTAAGCTGCCTCCAGGTTGTTCTTGCCTCCAGTGGTGTCTAAGCAGGAATGCTTAGGGAAGAGTGCAAGAATGAGACTTGTACTCAGGGAAATTTCGAAGGAATTAGCCCAGCTTCCAGAAAGCAGCAGTTTGGATTTGCTGGTCCGGTGTTTTGTGTTTAATAGGCCCCGATAGATTAGTGGAATAGAAACTTGTCCAGCATCCCTACTTTAATCCTGCAAAGTCTTTACATCTGCAACAACCTGCTGCAAGGAGTATTGCAGCTTTACTAAATGTCATATGAAGAACCAGCTCTGGTTATCTGTTGGGAGAGGGGAAAGAGTTTGAGGGAGTGTTGGGAGAGGGGAAAGAGTTTGGGAGAGTGCTGTCATTATTTATTTAATTTTTAAAAATAAATATTTTATTTAGCCAGACTACTTTCATTTGATCAGTGTCCACGATAGAAATAGGCTAGGAGAACATACCTAGGAACACTGGAGGGGATGTGGCAAGGTCCATGTGCCAGGTCCTCTCTGATTTGCAGGCGTGCATCTCATTTTGTCCCCTTTAATGTAGTTACCTGTTTCAATTTCAGGACTGGGCAGTGTTTTCACCCTCCCACTGCTTTCATCTGAAGGCTGTTTGCAGAATACTATTCCCTTCATTAGGAACATTCTCCCAAATGCCAGCCTGCATATATTGCTGGACAATTAACATCCATTTGCTCTTGTGACGGTGTTGTCTTGTAGCTTAGAGGCTCCTCTCTGTGTTATTAACTCTCTAATGTATTTTTGGACTACAGCCCTATCATTTCACAACCTTCCTTTTATTAGGTTAAATAAACCGAGGCATCTCCCGCTTCTCATAGAACAGGAAAGCAGCCAGACTCTGGAAGCTGAGGTAGCTTCTCCCTCGCTCTGCTTTGGACTGCTCTCGTCTATTTTGCTCATCAAGAGCCAGAATCCCACAGGACTCCAGGGAAGTAGCATCAACCTCCCCGCCCTTGTGCAGGGGGCTGCCCTGCTTACAACCTGGGATCCTGGTAGCCTTTTCCTGACTGCATCCCTCCCACAGGCAGTTCCTAGTTGCTCCAGGAGCAGCTGTCACCCCTGCAGCCTCCTTATTGCTTCTTATTGATAACCTCAKTTCTTCCCTGTGTTACTTTAGTGCTGCCGAAGGGTGTTTCATTTCTGCCCCTCACACCAGCTAGCTCTTTCTGTAGGAAGTTGCTTCCTGTCTCTGCGCGGATGATGCCTCTCAGCTTTAGCAGAATATTTCATTAACGTGCTCCTAGCTGCCAGCAAGGAAGGCTGTACCCTCGCAGGTGGCACTTCACTTTCTGAATAGTGTTCCTCATTTTGGTCATCTTTCTGACACAAATTTTACTCCATGTGCAAGTCTCSAAGAGTGATTTCTATCTAAGCTTCAATATTAGAGCAGGAAAGCTTTTATACAGATTGTTCCCATGGTTAGCAATGCTTTGACTGTTSTTGTGAAGACTCTCCTCCACAATGTTTCCCATAAGCAAATCTTTTGATTCTAATTGTCCATGGAGTCCTGCTTTGTGATTAGCATTCATAGGCACTATGGTATTACAAGGAATACATAAAATCCATTTATATTTTAGCTTGTGTTCCCTTTAATCTTTTCTAATACTCCTAAAATATTTACAGGATGCTAATGACTGTGAGGCCAAAAATGACCCTTTGAAATTTGTAAATGTGCTCAGTCACTAGTTGTAATAAATAATAAGAATTCTATTTTAAAACTATTTAGTATTTAAAATTGTAGAATTGAAATCTGAGGATCTTAAGAATCTAATTTGAGGAAAAGGAATATAAAAGTTGCATACTTGCTGATCAAGCCTGAATTATCTCAATTACTTAATGAGTTGAGACATCTGTGAGCAAAGCTGATGCTTGGGTGTATGGTAGCCAGTGTTTGACAGACAGTTTAACCAGACAGATTTTAAAACTCTGTTTCTTGCATAAAACATAAATGTCACTTCCTGCAGATCAAAGTGATTATCCTTCAATTTTTTTTTGTTGTTAGAGCCATTCTTTAATACCCCTTTTTTTACGCCAGAAAGCCATAAGAGGACCTTTGTTCCATTGCTTGGTGGAGGCTTACTGTCCTGCAGAAGTGATAMAAGAGCCTCATTTTCTGCTTTGCAAGTTTAGGAAGGCTCTTCATAAAAGCTATGCTATTTGCATAAAATCTTTAAAATCTAATTTTGTATATTTTCAATAGATACCTCAGAAAAAAATGTATATATGCATATACACGTGTGTGTGTGTGTATTTATGGATATAAGTTTGCTTGGGTAGTACATGCCTCTGTAAAACAGTAAGAGGCAGTTGGAAAATTGCTGCTTTGCAGTTTTCTGCCCTGAACCTCTCCTGGGCATCACTACGTTCATAAACATTGAGAGGTTAAGCCAGCAAGGCCATGGAGCTGGAGATATTTCTCTAGAAGAGAGGGTGCTAGCTTGGGTGCTCTGTATGAAGGTGGTAATGGATCTTCTGACTGGATATAACATCATTGCCAGCACATTGAGAGTCTTAGATGCAGTGTCTGGCCACTTCTGTGCAGATAGCTCTGTGCTGCCTAGCCTTCCAGTCAAGCCACTAAACAGCAAAATCTCGGCACATCAGGAGCAACCTCGAACAAGTAAAATGGAATTATGGAAGATAAATTAAAAGTAAATTATACCCTGCAAACACCAATAAAATGGGTCAGGGCAAGGAGGAAATTTGGGGGAATTTTCTGCTATGACAACCTGAGGTGGCCTAAGCTRTTTGCCCAAGACGATGAAGAAGAGATGATTTGCTTGGTTTTTTTTGTGATCTTTGTTTCTACAAATGCTAGGTCCTAATGTCTCAAAAAAACACTCCAAGGACAGAGCTCCTTTTGCAAATGTGAGTGGGCATGAGAGGCCATATTAAAAAGTAGTGGATGCCATTGAATATTGGCATCTTTCCTTAGGTTTGCGTGAAGGGAAAGAGACAGCTCTGTGGGCCTGTATGAGTTGTGAAGTGCAGCATTTAGGTGTCTATCTCCTGTACTTAGCTGCTTAGTGCAGTTTCGAGGCAGTGCTTTGAAATGCTCTAAATTACTTTTTGTACAAAGTGAATGGACAAAAAATATTTTGTGGCATTCTCTGAACACCAAATTATTAATTGTATTTTAGCTATTACAGAAATTACTGCAATTTTATCTCTTGTGTCTATAGCAGACAGCAGCTTCCTTTTCAGGTCTGCTTTGTGAATACAGGTACTCACCAGAGCATTTGCATTTGCTTTCAGAGGTGATTTGCGTGGCAATGAGCTACTAATGTGCACTTGAGAAGAGCAAGTTTTAAGCTCAGATGCTTCCCAGAACTCACTATAACGCATTCAAGAGTAGGCTCTGAAGTTCCCACTGAACTGGCTAGCAGTTGCTGGGGACTAAAATCAATATCAAGAGAGGTACATGTCTTGCAGYTGTCCACTGTATCAGACAGCAGTGCCTGTGTTGCAGGATCAGGCAATTTGTAAACCGAGAGTTATTTCAAAAAACACTCACTTTGCTGTCAATAATGCTGGTTGTGATTCATCCATAGGAGAGTGAACAGCAGGCTCAGGACCTTTAGGTGTGACTTGTTATGTCCTTGTGGTGATTTGTCTGGATGGCCTGTGGCACCTTAACTGGAGGTCTTGCCCTTCGCCCAGCCTTCTCGKCTAAATTCGGCTATTTCCATGCGCAAAGATTAGCTGTAAATCAGAGGAGTGCCGTGGGAACATGGGATTTCATGTTCTCCAGAGGTCCCTGCCAGCCTCAACMGCTCTGTGATCATTTTGTGCACTTCTCCAATTGCCCAGATTAACCTCAGAACCATTATATGAATGAGAAAAGGTTGTTCAGGGAGTTTGTGGTAAAGCCAGGAGTAGTCCCTAATCTGAAACATTTTAAGGATATTTTTGATGCRTCTTTGGACTAATTAATCCAGTGTTTAGATGGATAAACACTAGGTAGATCTGCATTTATTTCTAAGATACAGCTTTGTAAACATTTATGCGTGTTTTCCTTTTTAACAGATGCACACAGAATGTCTTTTTCAGCCCTGCTTAACATATGAATTTTAATAAAAATAACAAAAGTTCTTTATATTGTTTAAATGGTGTTTTAATTAGGCTACTGCTGCCTGCATTGTCAATTGAGTAGCAAGCTTAAAATCTTCTTAGCTGTGTAACCTTGCAGTGCTCTGTCTTTTATTTTGCTTGCATTTGGGGAAAAAAGTGTGAAATTAAGCGGTATCCCATTAATTGCTGATGAGTTGTCTTTTTTTTTTTTTTTTTTTTTTTTTTTTGAGTTAGACGGTGATTCAGGTTTCAACTTAAATGCAGACATTAATTCAATATTCTTCCTCATTTTATACATATATATATGTGTGTGTGTGTGTATTTGGTTTTGGGGTGTGTGTAGTTAGCAAAAGTTTATATTTAATGCTGAAATGTCACAATTCCCCTAGTTTGTTCTTCTGCCATGAACATGTGATTACAGAAGCTGGCTTTATTTTTTCAAATAGACCACATGCTGCTCCTTCAACATMGGTACTAGTTATCTGTAAAGTTTGATTTAGTCAAATAACTTCAGGTAACTTAAAGGAGCTTATTACTTCCCAATCAGAACCTTCCAGTTATTGAGACTTTTCATTCTGTCAGTGCATTTGAAACCCTGGGCTGAAATATCTTAAGGTAGAGTATGGAGCACAGCTGTGCAGATTAAAATTGTACAAGACTGGAACAAAAAAATTGTACAAATTGGAACAATTTCTGAAATATTCTGAAATATTCTGAAATTAGGACAGAATGCTGGACTTCTTTTTTAATATTTTTTTTCTGTCTTTGTGACTGCAGTTTACTGAATTCTTTGATCTTTGTAAAATACCTGGTCACTTCTTGTGTGGTAATTTTTTCATTTGCCTACGCAGTGTTATCTGAACCTCTTTACACCAGCAATATGTGGAATGGGCAACTCGGGCCTCAGCCCCAAAGCCTCAGTCTGTTTCTTACGTGTGGGCTGCAGCTCAGCAGAGCCAGGAACGCTTCAGGAGGACAGTTAACCAGGAGGACAGTTAACCAGGTTTCTTGGTGTTCCACATCTCCGCCAAGTACTGGGAAACGAAACCTATTAATGTCTTGGAGCAGTTTTTAGCGTCTTTGTGCTATTTTGGTCATTCTATCCTCCCAGATGCTGAAGTTCATTGTGCTTTGGCTTTCTAAGCAGTTGCTTTCTGCTTTAGTTCCATTCGTTCCCTGGAGATTGCAGTCTTGACCATGCGTGTTCCCGTGGAAGTCAGATCCATTAAATCTCTGTCTAGATAAGGCACCCTGATGCCCTGGCATTTTGTGGTCTGTGTCCGGTGACTGTACTTTAGATCCAGTTGCTTAGGTCACTGTTGACCTTTCYTCTTTGCTATCCCTGCTGGAAAATATTTACATACCTTGCTGTGTGTGATGTGACTTCAGAGCAGGCTGCAGCCCGTCGTGCCCTTGCAGTGACTTTCTGAAGCTGACAAAGCACTTCAGGATTTTCCCTTGACCTTTGTGCATTCGTCCTAAATGAGGCTGAGCTCAGAGTTTGCTGCATCATCCACGCGTCTCTGCAGAAGTTGGTCTGTCCCTCACTGTCCTCTGAATCCCAGGAGGAAAAAGATTTGTCAAGGCAGGTGGTTGAAGAGACTGCTTTGTGGCTGGTGAGATTCTGCAAGTAATCTTCTTTGGGGAATCACCATCAAGGCTCATGTATTAATTTTTCCATAGGATACTGTCTCCAGCTCTGAATTCTTCCTGCTGGTACATGGCCTGTTCTTGACTGCTGTTCGGGCTCTTCTGCAGCTTCTTTTCTAGCTTCATTCAGCTAAGCTGAGGATATTCAGCTTTGCAAATCATTGGTAGTTTATCCGCAATCTGTTATTTATGTAAATGCCTGTCACTACTCAACCCACACCCATATTGTTTTCAAGGACACAAAGCCACCCTTGCTTTCAGTGATGCAGCCTTTAGGCTCCTATTTCCAGCTGTGAATGCCAGGTGTTTAAAATGCCTGGTTCCACAGGGATTCCTTTAGGATTTTCCCTGTGTGCAGGACTGTTCTTTGAGCCAACTTTGCCTATCTGTCTTCTCTAGTCTTTGTTTTCCAGGCAGAGGATGTGCTCCAATATTACTGCCCTCTTTAATGCCCCTTCTGTTCTGTTGCACAGCTGAGGTGGCTCACTGAGCAGGTAGTAAGTGAGGTTTAGAGTAATGCTAGTTTTAAGTTTCTCATCCTGAAAGTCCTGGCAGGTTCTGTTAGTCCTTGTACCATATTCCCAGTGCCTTCAGGTTGTACCTGACTGGCCTTTGCATCTCACCCTTCCCACAGGTTAATTCAAAGGGAGCTTGACTGCAGTTGAAGATAAGACAAGACTGACCTGACAAGCCACCTCCCTGGTCAGCCTCCACCACTGACAACTGCATTAACCAGCACCTTGTTTATCAGGACCAGCCTCATCAGTGGCACCTGAAGTTGCTTTCTCATTGTCCCTGCTCCCCCTCTCTTAATTGAGTCTAAACATGGCCATCTTATTTTATGGACTGTGGGGGCCAGAATTGCAGTGTCTGGTTTGAATGAAGGCAACTTACGGTCCCTCTAACTCTGTTGACTGTGGATGATGAATGTTGTGAGTTCATGAATCTAGTAGCTCAGGAGAGGGAGACTTGCATTACCACAGCCCTAGGTGCAGCTGATAGCAGAGCCAGGCATGCCCATTAGGCACAGGTACACATAGTGCCTATACATGTGCCTGTATACAGCTCGTCACACGTCAACAGAGACAGAAAATGCAGCACTCCTGGAACACACACAGTAAAATGGCTTCATGGTTTTTCCAGAAAAATATTTTTACGTTTATACACAAAAACAAAAATCATATATATATATATATATATCATATACAGATCCCTYCAGTACTGGAGGTTAGGCACTCAGTCTGTTAGTTAAATGACCCCTGCATCCCCAGGCGTTCCCAGTTGCTGGCACTGGGACTTTTGAAGCCCCACGGTCAGCAGCAGCGCTGCAGTTGCTGGTACTGAGATCTCCTCCCACACAGATTCAGACAACAAGAGGTGCACAAAATACGGGACCATTCAGGAGTTGATTTTAGACACTCAGACCRTTCAGTATCTGATGTCTGCATCCTCTGGTTTCCTGCCTGCCTTGTGCATGTGCGTGCACTCCCCTACACACGTGCAAATGGATCTCCCTGGCAGCTGGTTAAGAGCTATGGCCTTGCAAGGCCTTTCCCATTGACTAGCTGGTGGATGTCCTACCCAGGCCACAAGCTGATCCTTCTTGGGTGATTCTTGTGGGAATAGGCAGGTCAGGCTGCTCCTTGGCACCAGTTAGCTTATTGGGGACCCTTCCATGCTCATAGTTCCTCTTCTGCTTTGTTTTTATGGAGATAATCTTTTAATCACACAACCTAACGAAGAACAGAATTGTGTGACCACAGTGAGAAGCCTTTAGACAACACTTGGAAAGACCTGCTAACTGCGATAATATTGGGAATAATATTGGGATAGTAACACCAGATGGAAGAATGCTTTTGTCAAATTTGTTATAGCACTGAAATCAAATGAGGCAACCTATTACTATGCTTTAAGAATCTATAACTTCCATGTATGCAATATTAAATATTGGTTTGATACAGATTTATACTAGCACAAGCATATCCTAATATATGACAGTTCAACCTTTGAGTATCATCTTTCATTAAAAGTGTTGATGACTAGCACAAAAAAAAATCACTACTATGTGATTTAGAAGGCAATTTAATTGCAATATCAAAAATGTTAAGTGCGGCAGCATTTCAGTCAGAGGATCTATTTTGAACTTAATATTTTCAAAGTGTCCTGCATTTTAATATGATAAAATCTTGTCCATTAGTGACTGCTAAGGTTTACTTGTAAATTGGTAAATGTGTCTCATTATGGATTATGCTAAAGTAGTAAGGAGGGAAGAGAAGTCACAGGTCATGGCTGAGTCAAACCTACTAGTCAAAAAAACATAGTGGTGATCCCAGCAATAATAGACCCAGAGGATGTTTGCTATTGTCATAGCTATAAACTAACTCCAGGAATTTAAAGGTTTGTAAAAGTGACTGCTCTGTGCAACAGGAAAAAAACTATCCTGCATGCAGAACTACAAGCAGGGCACTCCCTCCTACAGTTACCAGATCCAAATTCACGTGGGGAAACTCCCGCTGCCTTAACAGGACACAGGGATAAAGCAGGTTGCATCTCGGTAAGTCCTAGCTGAGCACTCACTTTGCAGTGAGGTTCAGCTGGGCTTCTGGCTGAGGCATTTACTCAGTATCGTGGCCTAGACTTTCAGAACTCCTTTTATTTACTTATTTATTTCAATTTACAGCTAAAGTAGAATTTTAAAACAGAAATAAACATCTGTGTCTGTTTACATTTAAAGATCTGATTTATCTCTTGTTGATGTCAATGTGAATTTTCCCATGGTCTTTTAGAATGAGTTTACTGGAGTTCAGAAATGAACTATTTTAAAAATTGTATTTTGTTTAGCAGAATAAACAAAAGCCTCAGCTGAAGTTAGTGGAATTCAATGGGGAATGCTTTAGGAACTTTGAAATTTGATATTCAGTATTAGATTATAAAATACTAGAGGTGGTTTTAATTTGCCCCAAGTGTCTGGATTTGTGTAGTGCAACACTGAGAGGAAAATACCTCAGTGTAATCACGTACTTCTTGTCTCAGGCTCAAGAAGGGAACGTTGTGGGTACCGGATTTTGCGTCGCCATCGTAATTCAGAAGATCAAGTGCATTGTATTGGCAAAGCTAAGAAATACAGCGAGGCAGCAACCCGCGTTAAGGAGATCCTCCTCAGCACGGTCAGTCCGGAGCAGTTTGTCTTAACGCTGCTTGAAGCAGAGCCTCCCAACGTGTTGGTGAGTCGGCCCAGCAAGCCCTTCACAGAGGCCTCCATGATGATGTCCCTGACAAAACTGGCAGATAAAGAGCTGGTTCATATGATTGGTTGGGCCAAAAAGATTCCTGGTAAGAATTTCAGTCTTTTTTGTTTATACTGACCAACACTGTTACCCTTAACATACTGTTATCTACCTTGAAATAACAGCATAGGACTGTGAATGCATGACATGAAAATATTAATCTTTTTATTCTAAAAGAGTAATGGACATTTTTTTTTTTTTTTTGCTCTGAATAATTCATTTGAAGTTTAGGCAGTGACTTTACACATAACTTGCTGCCCACTGTGTTGGCCAAATACCAACTCATAAAATGAGAAGACACTCGGTGTTGCATTCGTATGTTTAAAAAAATTTTGTTAAAAGGATGGTAACTAGATTGCTATAAAAATAAAGACTAAATTCTTCAACTCTGATGAAATGTTTCTGTTACTGTTGATGAAATCTGATTAAGAGTATCCAAGCACTGAGTGTCTGTAATTGCTTTAGCTCCTACAGTTGCTCCACAAGAGCATCGTATTGCTGAGAAGGGAACAGTATCGATCTCAAAATTTATCCTGTGCTCTTATTCAAAGCATAAATCAACAGAGATGCTTTCAGTTGTTTGCAGCACAAAGAACATGCACTAAAGTACAGCTATATGTGTTACAACCTGGAATGTCTTGAATGTGGCTATGGTGCCATGGCAATTGGCAATTTCCCTCCTTACAATCAAGAAGCAATTGGTCAATATTTGCAACAAAGGGCCCACAGTTAAAGCAACCAGAATAAAGATTAAAAGCTAGAGTGAAAGTAGCCAGTGTGTAGAGAAGATAATTGGCAAAGTGTGCAGAAAAGCTTGCTGGCAGGCATAGACCAAACCATGATGGTTGCTCTTTAGTGAGTGCTAAGGTGACCAACTAAATAATAATAAACTGGAAGAAGCATGAAACAACTAACAGAGACATAGGTGAATGCAGCTAAATCCTTACCTTTGGAAATAGTACTTTGCTAGAAGTAATCCCAAACGTGTCCTGCAGTGTGCCCAAGGCAGGCCTGAGCCTTGTTGCTGTGTAGATGTAGCCCGGGTAAACTTGACATTGATCCTCACGTCTGGTGATGAACTGTGTGCTCGGGAGACAGTTTTGGTGCAGACTGCATCAGTAAACTAAGAATGCAGAATGAGGAAAGCACCTCCCATTTCAGGTCTAGGTAGAATGGTTGGAGATGTTTCCAGCTGCAGCTGTTGGGCACCATCTCCTAGTTCTGGGCTGCATCTCCACTGCTTGGCCACCCTCTTGGAGGGCTCGGGTGAGGTGGCTTGAATGTGTTGCCCAGGGCCTGCAAATTCCCATTCCAACACTGCATTGCTGGGAGAGGAAACCTGCACAGCACAAGGGTCTGAAGTTGTATTAGCCATTTGCAAAGGGATGGTGGGTTTTTTTGCCATTGGTGTGGAATATTTAATGACGAATCCTCAAATCCTTCATCCTTATTTGTCATGGTTTAAGAAAATCTGAAAATGAAAATAGCTAGAAAGGACTAAGTGATGTTTATTAGGATATTCTCTTGTTGAGAAATACTTGATTGAAAAGTGTCATTTCTGGGGACTCTATGCAGTTCTGTTAATTTGGTAGGAAACAAATAGTGAGAAAAAAAACAAGAAAAGTAGTTTTAAATTACATTGTAAGAAATTTTCACTGTTCATAAAAAATAGACTTTTCGTTTTTGAGGTTGTTCATATTTCT